TAAACCAAAAAATTGTATTATTAATAATAACATCAAAACTTTAAAAAATGTATTTACAATAAAATTAAGTAACAGAAAAGAAAACAAAGTGATATGTTTACCTAATAATTAACAAAACTGTTCCTACTTGGTTTAAGAATATTAAAAAATATGAAAAAATATAAAAAATGATTTTCATAAGGTAGCCAGCCAACTTATCTATTAACATATAAAGCTTTTCGTTTTCCTCCACTTTTAACAAAATATTTTAAAAACATAGTGAATGTTTTTATAACACATGTTTATTCGTCCGTCTTTTAAATTTGCAAATTTACTTATCATGTCTTCATAAAATTGAGGATCGGCACTAAGACTTTGCAATAGTTTTTTTTCTATCGTCCTCACTGATAAGTTGTTTAAGCGCTCTTTTGTCATCGTATTTCTAAGTCTTAATGCGCTTAAGACACAAAACGTTTTTTCTACCGAGACACTGGTTGCAGGAATAGTTAAAACTGGGCAAAACAATTTGTACGTGTCCGAAAATACCATTTTAAATTTCTTGTATAATATTTCTATTGTTTTTTGAACTTCTAAATTACAAAATTCTGTACAAAATATTAAGTTCGTTTTTCAACCTATCTATTTCAAAAACGTTTGGATACATTTGTAATAAATATTCAAGCGATTTTACGGGAAATTTGTTTGCATATTCGGGGAATTTTGAGGAATCTATTAAAACAAAAAAATTTAAATCATGTAAATTCCCAAAACGAGTAGGTACTTAATTAAGGGGAAATATATTTCCATAATATTTCTAATTCGTCGTAGTAAGTATCTATTAAATTACGTTAAATTTAGTCTTACTTTGTTTTGTTGTAAGGAAATTGTTTTTTATTTACTTTAAGTTAATATATGTCTTGTCCTTATATCCTTAAAGCCTTTGTACTATCCCTCACACTGACATCAGATACTACCCGTGTACTATGCGATGCGTACATTAACCGCGAACTGAAACACTGAAACTATAAGCAGCTTTGAACCGGCCTCAGTTTCCTCCTAAATCAGGTTATTTTATACTGTTATTTTGATTTTTGAAAATGTAATAGGTAATTGAAAATTAGTTTACCTAACTGTTTATTTAGGTTAATAGTAGAAGAGTAGGTATTAAAATATACGGTGTGATAGCCAAATTTTACATTGAGATCCGGCCTCAGTTGCTTCATACGACAAGNCCTGTGCATACAGTCTGTTTGAGTATAAAGGCCCCGAGCCATAACTCGGTTACCCATTTTTGGAGACCCTGTAAAGTTTATATATTTTTAAATGGGGTGTTATTCTTTTCATACTGACGCACAACTTTTTTTGTCACACTGTAGAATGAGTGGTGACGTCATCGATATTCTTTTAAAGGGGATTGTATAATTTTTTTTGCATGTTTTGATTTATGTTTTTATCATCTTTCCAACCATATGAAATTTGTATGCCTTTGCACAACGAAATTTTTGAGAAAAAATGAGAAAACTTTCAGCCTCTGACTTTAGTTTGTGGTGTTCGCTTTCTAAATGATATCAAACATGCGCTGGAAAAACAATTTTACAAACCGCTATCTGTCACATATCGTTCGGACGTTTGTAAACTCTTTTGTGCATTTGGCATGAATTTGAAATAAATAAATAAATAAATAAAAGTAAAAAAAAAACACAATGAATACATAGATACAATTATTTCAACTCAAGAGTAACTTAGATCACTATCTAGAATTTTCGCAAACAAAAAAATTACCGTGCATTTTCTCGGGCGCCCCCACCGTAAGTTTGACTGAAACAGAAGAATTGGCTTTTTCTTCTTGCATCTTCCTCATTTGCTTTTTGTGCTTCATCCTCCTGTTTTGGAACCACGTCTTTACTTGAGTTTCGCTCAAACTCAATGCGCTGGCAAGCTCTACTCTCTCTGGCGTCGAGAGATACCTCTGTGCGGAAAAACGCTTTTCTAAACCTACAAAACATGAAAATATTGATACATGAATTGTTTTTATCCTCAAAATAAAGTTATTCCTAAGATTGAAAAATATTTTAATGGAGACAGAACAGGGAGATAATAATTTTGTCAGTTTTCATAAGTTAGTCTAAGTCATGCAACAATTCTAAGGTGAGCATTATTAGGAGATGGCTGAAATTAAAAAGTGTGTTAAAATAATGATAATTTGATCAAAACGTCTGTTCTAACTTCAAAATTCTTTGAAACTTACCTGTAAGCTGCGGGTCACTGAAAACAGTCCTAGCTTTTCTTCTCCTACAATGTTTGAGGGCGTTGAGGGATATCTCACTAGCATTTCCTCCAAATAGAGCGTGATGGAATGGTATACCTGGAATAATAATAGAATCATTAGTTCTTCCGCTTTTTCTAATTTTAAACTCCGGTAAATTTTTGAATTCGCAAGGTCTAGGATGGCAGTTTTACCAACCCCTATTGAAACTGTTAATATTTTACCCAAGTATGGGAATTACGGCATACTGTAATATTTAACTTTTAATTTCATGAATTTGCAAGGTTTAAGAGGGTGGTTTTACAAACTGCTATAAAAAAATAATTAAATCTGACCTTGTAAAAATTGAACTACAAAAGTTAAAAAAGTAATTATTTATTTGTAATTTAATAGTGGAATGTTTAATGACACAGGAAAATAAAATAATGCAGTAGCCGTGATTCTAAACTCTATATTTTTCGAATAGTCCAAGAAAACAAGGAAAAAATGATGGAATTTTTTTTACTATGAGATTTTTTTTATAGAAAAGTGTAGGTTTTGAGGTCAGAAAACATGATTTTGTCATATACGCAACCGTTAGCATTTTGAGATATGATTTTTTGCGTTTTTTTTATAAAAAAACTACCAATATTTCAATGAAGATGCTCTAAAAAAGTTTCAAATAAAAGTTGTTCAAAATTAAATTTCCTACAAAATTGCTCCTATGAAGATTTTCCCAATAGTTTTCCCGTATATTTTTTAAATGAAATACAGATTATGCGAAAATTAATGTTTTGGAGCCAAAATAATGGTCAATTCATTTTTAAATAACAAAAGTGAATTATTAAAAAAAATTGTGGTAAATTCTTGGGAAATCTTATATAGTTTTCCGAGGGTTGAATATTTATGAGCATTAAACGTATCATTTTATAGGTTTTCGGGGGTGTATATTACGATTTAATGACGCGCTTTTTAATATTTTCCAGAAGAATCTGTTTTTTCCTTTGAAAGTTTCTAGCTCCATAACAACGCCGCGTCGTTCTTTTGTCTAATACTGATTATTTTGACCAGGGAGACTAGACAAGGAGCACGAACTCGTACGGGAAAATTGACAAAATTTGTCCAAGAAATGGCAGAAGTTGGGGTGGCGCTAGTGTTCCATGTGTCCCAAGTGAATGTAGCATTTTAAATTTTTCTGCTGATTAATTTAAATTTTATCTTAATAGCAAACGAAGCTATTTATTTTATACAGGCCGTTACAAATTCGCTTCTCACTACAGGGATCTCGGAAACGGTAAGAGATACGAAGTAGCTTAATTGGGGGCATAGTTGCGTAATCAGGGGACCAACATTATGCTTCTAAAAAATCAGGACTAACTTGGTTAGTTTTCGAAATATTTGAAAGAAAAAACGAAATTTTGGAAATCCGTTTTTGTTTCATTTCAGCATTGTTTGAGGTGATTGAAAAAAGAAGAACACTTTCTCATGGCAACTTTTCGCCCTCTATCGAATGGCATAATCAATTATTGTATGTAACGTTTCGTCTCTCCAGCAAGGAACATCATTCACTTCATTCTTTTAAATACGACCCTGGAAATTTTATTACATTTTTCGCAAGCCTTCATGACCCCCAACACTGTACTGCCTCAGCTCGAACGTTCAGACGTTTTGTCTGGAAAAATTATTCATCTTCAATATATTCGTTCCATCTAAATTTTTTATTTAAATTTCTATGTTTATTGAATTATCGTACACTGTAACTATCGTTAGACCCTGTGAAATCTATTTATTTAACTATTGCCATCATACGTTACAATAAAACATTTAGCCTTAATTTTTTAGAGTCATAATGTTGATCCCCTGATTGTGCAACTTTGCCCCCATTTAAGCTACTTCGTATCTCTTACCGTTTGCGAGATCCCTGTAGTGAGAAGCGAATTTGTAATAGCCTGTATTATTAAAGTTGTATGATACTTCTGTCATGAACAATTATTTATTTGAGATGGAAGAATTCACATTAACTCCGTCAGAAATTAATTGAATCAGCAAAGCAAATACATAG